GAAAAAAAAAAAAAAAAAATGGTAGTGCCTGGCATAGTGCCTTGGGAAAGGAAATTTAAGCTTCTTTAGCTTTATGGTAACTCATTTCTGTCTCCAACATCTGGAAAACTTTAAATATAGTCCATTAGCCCTACAAAAACACTGTTCTTGAGATAAGCATACACACATGCACACACACAATTTCACACATACATGCAGGGTCCATAAGATGGCACCAGAGGCTGGACATAGTGGCTCACACCTGTAATCCCAGCACTTGGGGATGCCGAGGAAGGTGGATTGCTTGAGCTCAGGAGTTGGAGACCAGCCTGGGTGACATGCAGAAACCCTGTCTCTAGAAAAATATAAAAATTAGCCAGGCATGGTGTCATGCATTTGTAGTCTTAGCTACTCTGGAGGCTGAGGTTGGAGGATGGCTTGAATCTAGGAGTTCAAGGCTACAGTGAACCAAGATCTGGCCATTGCACTCTAGCCTGGGAAGATGGTCCCAGACATTACTCTTCCCATTAAGGTTAACCCCTTGACTTCCTGGTCTCCTTCCCTTTTCTCTCCTCCCCTCCATGTATTTTGATTGCCTAGAACCTTGGTGTAAGGAAGGAGGTGGAATTGCTGGGCTTCTTTTCCAATTTCTAGTTGTGTTAAGGATAGGGGAAATTTTAGGAAACTATAGTAATATGCAAATACGGGCACTCAATACATTAATGGCAAATTAATTCAATGTATAAGTAACCACGGAATCCAAGATTTTTTTTTTAACACGAACAGTCCTACTAAAGGAAGAATCAAAGACTTTTTTTTTTTTTTTTTTTGAGACAGAGTCCTGCTCTTGTTGCCCAGGCCGCAGTGCAATGGCACAATCTCAGCTCACTACAACCTCCGCCTCCCAGGTTCAGGCGATTCTCTTGCCTTAGCTTCCTAAGTAGCTGGGATTACAGGCGTCTGCCACCACACCCAGCTAATTTTGTAGTTTTAGTAGAGACGGGGTTTCGCCATGTTGGTCAGACTGATCTCGAATTCCTGGTCGCAGGTGATCCACCCGCTTGGGCCTCCCAATGTGCTGGGATTACAGGCGTGAGCCACCGTGCCCAGCCCAAAGATTCTTAAAGATATATTCAGGCTTGGCCGGGCGCGGTGGCTCACGCCTGTAATCCCAACACTTTGGGAGGCCGAGGTGGGCGGATCACGAGGTCAGGAAATCGAGACCATCCTGGCTAACACGGTGAAATCCCGTCTCTACTAGAAATACAAAAAAATTATCCAGGCGGTGGTGGCGGGCGCCTGTAGTCCCAGCTACTCAGGGAGGCTGAGGCAGGAGAATCGCTTGAACCCGGGAGGTGGAGGTTGCAGTGAGCTGAGATCACACCACGGCATTTAAGCCGGGGAAAAAAAACCAAAACCCCCCCCAAAAAAAAAAAAAAAAAAGGTATATTCAGGCTTGAGAAATGTGTTGAAACAAACAACATGACATTTAATAGGGATTAAATGTGATGGCTTGGATTTAGGTTTTAAAAAACTAAGTAACTGGGCCGGGTGCGATGGCTCACGCCTGTAATCCCAGCACTTTGGGAGACCGAAGCGAGTGGATCACGAGGTCAGAAGATCGAGACTATCCTGGCTAACACAGTGTAAACCCATCTCTACTAAAAAAATACAAAAAAATTAGCCAGGCATGGTGGCGGGTGCCTGTAGTCCCAGCTCCTCCGGAGGCTAAGGCAGGAGAATCACTTGAACCTGGGAGGCAGACGTTGCAGTGAGCCGAGATCACGCCATTGCGCTTCAGCCTGGGCGACAGAGCAAGACTCTGTCTCAAAAAAAAAAAAAAGAAAAAAGAAAAGAGAAAAACCCCAGACTAATTACATACAATAAAAGGAATATAATTAATGTTCAACAGAACCCTTATTAAAAGCCATGAATCTGGCTCCTGAAAGAGTCAATCTCCTGAAAAAAAAAAAATCAACAAACACCAATAAACTTTAGGAGAAAAACACACAGCAAATGACATACTGGTATGGGACAATGTACTTTACACATAGATAGCTAGGAAGGATGAGAACAGCATATATTCCCAACAATCACTGAAGTAACAGATTAAAAATTTAGAGGGTTGGAGATTAAACAAAAATGTGTAGGTGCTATAGAAAAAATGTTTGCATCTCCCCAAAATTCATATGTTGAAACCTAATCCCCAATATGATGGTTTTTGTAGTACGGGGCTTTGGGAGGTGTTACATCATCAGGGTGGAGGCCTTCTGAATGGGATTAGTGCCTTTACAAGAGTTGCCAGAGAGCTCCCTCACTCCTTTGGTCATGTGAGGACACAGCAAGAGGACAACCATCTGTGATACACAGAGGGGCCTTCAGCAGACACCAGATCTGCCAGTAACTTGATCTTGGACTTAGTCTCCTATAAAAAATAATTTTTTTTTTTTTTTTTTTGGAGACAGAGTCTCACTCTGTCGCCCAGGCTGGAGTGCAGTGGCACGATCTCGGCTCACTGTAAGCTCCTCTTCTCAGGTTCACGCCATTGTCCTGCCTTAGCCTCCCGAGTAGCTGGGACTACAGGCGCCCGCCACCATGCCTGGCTAATTGTTTGTATTTTTAGTAGAGACGGGGTTTCACTGTGTCAGCCAGGATGGTCTCGATCTCCTGATCCGCCCGTCTTGGCCTTCCAAAGTGCTGAGATTACAGGTGTGAGCCACTGCACCCGACCAAATGTCTGTTGTTTATAAGCCACCCAATCTACGGCATTTTGTTATGGTAGCCCAAATGGAAAGATAGTGGGTCTGATGTTATCATTGTAACTCCTGTTAGAAAAAGGATAAATTGTGTCTGCATTGCCCTTATCTGGTTTTGAAAGCAGAGTGGTTATGATCTGAAAAAGGATTACAGGTGATGACTTTGAAAATAGGCTGAAGACTAAGATTTTAAAGAAAAGGGCAGTTTACTTTATGACAGTATGTCTGATGTTATCATTGTAACTCCTGTTAGCAATAAGGAAAAAGGATAAATTATGTCTGCATTGCCCTTACCTGGTTTTGAAAGCAGAGTGGTTATGATCTGAAAAAGGATTATAGGCGATGGCTTTGAAAGTAGGCTGAAAGTCAAGATTTTAGAGAAAAGGGCAGTTTATTATTTCAAGTATTTTTCACAATTGTCAATAAACAAATATACATAAAATACCTCCAAAAAGATACATGCCTAAGTGTTGCCTCTGGAGAGAACTGGAGAAGTGGGGACACAGAAATGTGTCCTTTAATGTTGTTGTACTTTTAATGTCATGTGGATTTTGTGCCATGTTTATGTATCATCAATTTAACACTTACTAATTTTAAAAAGTAGAAGACCTGGTTCCTACTCTTCCTAAGTTCATTGCTCCTTTCCTGTGTACTTGTACTCTCTGGGATTATTGCTAATGTGGCACTTATCTGAATTCACTGCAATTATTTAGGGCAAGGGAAGAGTTTGTGAGGTTTTCATGTTGGAAAAATAACATCTTAGCCTTTTGTGAATGGAGAATGGATTAACAAGAGACCAGAATGGATGCAGGCTGATCAGTTAAGAGGCTATTGCACCTGCCTAAGTAAGAAGTGACAGTAGTTTGGGCCAGGCACGGTGGTTCATGCCTGTAATCCCAGCACTTTGGGCTAAGGTGGGAGGATTGCTTGAACCCTAGAGCTCCAGACCAGCCTGGGCGACACAATGAGATCCTGTCTCTTAAAAAAAATAGAAAAAATTAGTGGGGCGTTGTGGTGCATGCCTGTAGTCCCAGCTACTTGGGAGGCTAAGGTGGGGGGATCACCTGAGCCCAGGAGGTCGAGGCTGCAGTGAGCCGAGATCATACCACTGTACTCTAGCCTGGGTGACAAAGTTAGACCCTGACTCAAAAAAAAAAAAAAAAAAAGGAAAAAAAAGAAAAAAAACACAGTTATTTGGACTAGAATAGTGTGGGAAAGACAGGGAGAAATGAAAAATTTAGGAGCTATTTAAATGTCTTTGATATTGGAATTGAGGTAGGAGGAAGTTACCAAAGATGACACCTGTTTCCAGATTTGGGAATGTATTAGCTACCTATTGCTGTGCATGGATTCTTTGGGTCAGATTTGGGAGTGGCTTAGCTGAATAGTTCTTTTTCAGGGTTTCTCATGAGATTTCAGTCAAGGTATTGGCCTGGGCTACAGCCATCTGAAGGCTTGACTGTGGCTGGGGGATCCTGCTACCAAACCCACTCACATAACTGTTGGCAGGAGACCTCAGTTCCATGCTGTCCCTGTGGACTTCTCCATGGGAATTCCTGGATCTCCTCATAAATTGTTAGCAGTCACACAGAAATCCGATGTTTGCTGAATTAATGTTTTTTAAAAACCTAGCCATTTCTGCTAGGGACAGTGGCTCATGCCTATAATCCCAGCACTTTGGGAGGCTGAAATGGGTGGACCACCTGTGCTCAGGAGTTGGAGAGCTGCCTGGGCAGGATGGTGACACTATCTCTACAAAAAATACAAGTTAGCCAGGGGTGGTGCATGCCTATAGTTCCAGCTACTTGGGAGGCTGAGGTAAGAGGATTGCTTGAGCCTGGAGGTCGAGGCTCCAGTGAGCCATGTTTGCACCTAGCAGAATTTTTTTTTTTTTTTTTGAGACAGAGTCTCGCTCTGTCCCCAGGCTGGAGTGCAATCTCGGCTCACTGCAAGTTCCAACTCCTGGGTTCACACCATTCTCCTGCCTCAGCCTCCCAAGCAGTTGGGACTACAGGTGCCCATCACCATGCCTGGCTAATTTTTTTGTATTTTTAGTAGAGATGGGGTTTCACCGTGTTAACCAGGATGGTCTCGATCTCCTGACCTTGTGATCCACCCGCCTCAGCCTCCCAAAGTGCTGGGATTACAGGCGTGAGCCACCGTACCCGGCCAGAAATGGTTAGGTTTTTAAGAAACATTTAAAAAATGTTTAGCCTGGGTGACAGAGTGAGACCCTGTCTCAAAAACAAAACAAAACAAAACAAAACAAGAAACCCGGCCATCATTTCAACCAGGCAGAATTATACATTTATGCATCCATCAATCTTTAATTCCTTGATTGATTACATCATTATTTCATATATATTATGTGCCATGCAATGTTCTATAATTGTGCTGGGGCACAATATTTGTAGGGTCCTTTTCTCAATAAACTTACATTCCAGTGAGCAGAGACAGATAAAAATCAGGTAAATGAATGACAAAGATAATTTTGTCTACTAATTAATACTGTAAAGAAAAACAGTATAATTGAATGAAGTAATGGGGGATACTACATTAGCTAAGGCCATTAGGCAAGGATTTTCCAAGGCGACATTTGCGTTTACACGGCAAGGAGAGGCCAGCCCCACAAACATTTGCAGAACGAGATTTCCAGACAGTAGGAGCAGCAAGGGAAAAAGCTTGAAGGATGGATGAGTTGTGTTTGTGAAATAAAATGAAAGCCAGTGTGATCAGTGCATAATGAAAAGGAAGACCAAAACCAAATCTTGTAGGATTTTATCAACTTTAGTAGAGAAGTTCGGTTTTATTTCAACCACATGGAAGTCACTGGAGGTTTTTAAGCATGAATAATGATATAATCTGGTTTGCCATAATTAAAATATCCATAGTGGGCCAGGCATGGTGGCTCACACCTGTAATCTCAGAATTTTGGAAGGCTGAAGCAGGAGGATTGCTTCAGGCCAGGAGTTCAAGAGCAGCCTGGGGAACACAGTGAAACCCCCATCTCTAGAAAATAATCGAAAAATTGGCTGGGTGTGGTGGCACATACCTGTGGTCTCAGCTACTCAGGAGGCTGAGTTAGGAGAATCACTTGAGCCTCGGAGGTCAAGGCTGCAATAAGCCATGATTGTGCCGTTGCAACACAGCAAGATTCTGTCTCAGAAACAAAACAAAACAACACATGAAATATCCATACTGCTATAGGAAGAAGGCAGTATAATTGTTTGCTAGGGCTGCCATAACAAAATGCCACAGATTGGGTGGATTAAAGAACAGAAATTTATCCAGGCGCAGTGGCTCATGCCTATAATCCCAGCATTTCGGGAGGCCAAGGCAGGCAAATCACTTGAGGTCAGGAGTTCAAGATCAGCCTGGCCAACATGGTGAAACCCTGTCTCTACCAAAAAATACAAAAATTAGCTGGGTGTGGTGGTGCACCCTCATAGTTCCAGATACTCTGGAGTCTGAGATGGGAGAATTGATTGTACCTGGGAGGTGAAGGTTTCAGTGAGCTAAGATCACACCACTGCACTCCAGCCTGGGTGACAGTGAGACCTTCTCTAAAAAAATAAAATAAACAGAAATTAATTTTGTCACAGTTCTGGAGGCTGGGAGTCCAAGATCAAGATGCTGGTATGGTTGGTTTCCTCTGAGGGCCTAAGGGAGAAGTCTGTTCCAGGCCTCTTTCCTTGGCTTGCAGATCGCCACCCTCTTGGTTGCTGCCTCTTCACATATTTGTCTCTGTGTGCATGCATCCCTGGTATCCCCCTCTTATAATTACACCAGTCACATGTGATTAAGGTCCTACCCCAATGGCCTCATTTTAACTTAATAATCTCTTTAACGACCTAATCTCTGGATATGGTTACATTCTGAGGTGCTAGAGGTTGCAACTTAGACAAGTGAATTTGGGAGAGACACATAACAGCCCATAACAGAAGTCAAGAACGCAAGCAGCAAGATCAGTTAGGACACGATTGCAGTATCTCAGCAAGAGATGCCAGTGGCTTGGATTAAGATTTTTAGATTAGGAGTAGTTGGATTAGATAATTATTTTAAAAGTAGCATGCGGCCGGGCGCGGTGGCTCAAGCCTGTAATCCCAGCACTTTGGGAGGCCGAGACGGGCGGATCACGAGGTCAGGAGATCGAGACCATCCTAGCTAACACGGTGAAACCCCATCTCTACTAAAAAAAATACAAAAAACTAGCCGGGCGAGGTGGCGGGCGCCTGTAGTCCCAGCTACTCAGGAGGCTGAGGCGGGAGAATGGCGTAAACCCGGGAGGCGGAGCTTGCAGTGAGCTGAGATCCGGCCACTGCACTCCAGCCTGGGCGACAGAGCGAGACTCCATCTCAAAAAAAAAAAAAAAAAAAGTAGCATGCATGGGTTTGCTACTTCTAAGTGCTAAAAAGAAATGACTCAGGGATTATCATCAGTTTTTGGCCTGAGCAACTTGGTTGCCATTTGTGAAACAGAGAAAATGAAGAAGCAAGTTTACAGGGAGAACAAGAATTATGAGATTAAATTATTATTATTATTTTTTCTTTTTTTTCTTTCTTTTTTTTGAGATGGAGTCTCGCTCTGTTGCCCAGGCTGGAATGCAATGGCATGATCCTGACTCACTACAAGCTCTGCCTCCTGGGTTCACGCCATTCTCCTGCCTCAGCCTACCGAGTAGCTAGGACTACAGGTGCCTGCCACCACGCCTGGCTAATTTCTTTTTGTATTTTTTGGTAGAGACAGGGTTTCACCATGTTGGCCAGGATGGCTACGATCTCCTGACCTCGTGATCCACCCGCCTTGGCCTCCCAGAGTGCTGGGATTAGAGGCATGAGCCACTGCACCTGGCCGAGAATAAAGGATTATTTAAGAATCACTCTTCTTTCATGAGAAGATTCTTTTTCTTCTTTTCTTTTTTTTTTTTTGGATTCAGGTTCTGGCTCTGTTGCCCAACTGGAGTGCAGTGGTACAACTGTGGCTCACTGCAGCCTCAAACTCCTGGGTTCAAGTGATTCTCCTGTCCTACTTCCTAAGCAGTTGGCACTACAGGTGTGCGCCACCACGCCTAACTAAGTTTTTCTATTCATACTTTTTATAGAGATAGGGTCTCACTATGTTGCCCAGGCTGGTCTCAAACTCCTGGCCTCAAGCCATCCTCTGCCTTGGTCTCCCAAAATGCTGGCATTACAGGTGTAAGCCATGGCACCCAGCCAAGAATTCTACTTTGAACATGTTATGTCTAAAACATATTAGACATTCAGGCCAGGCATGGTGGCTCACACCTGTAATACCAACACTTTGGGAAGCCGAGACGGGTAGATCACTTGAGGTCAGGAGTTCAAGACCAGCCTGGCCAACATGGTGAAAACTGGTCTCTACTAAAAGTGAAAAAATTAGCTGGGTGTGGTGTGGCACATGCCTGTAATCCCAGCTACTCGGGAGGCTGAGGCAGGAGAATCGCTTGAACCTGGGAGGCAGAGGCTGCAGTGAGCTGAGACTGCATCATTGCATTCTAGCCGGATATATTGCTATTAATTTCCAAAAAAACTTTTCATGGTCTCTGATTTAATTCCTGCACAGCACAAACTCATCGCCTACTGTCCAAAGATTGGGAGTGTGGTAGAAGAGGAGTCACTGCTCAACTGCACAAGGGTCTATGTGTAGAGAGGACCCTGAAGGCCTCATTACTCCTTGTCAAACTCACAACCAAATCCTATTTCAGCTCCTATTTTCTGGTACCTACTTTTCCTAGGACTCTTAGAAGTTCTTCAAAGTAAATCAAATTGTTTCTCACTGGTCTTCCCTTCTGCATCCTATGTCTACTACTAACTATCATTCTTTCAGTCTTACAAAAATTTGTTGAACTCTCATCTGCTGGAACTCTGCTTTCAGCAAAGATGGAAAGACCAGAACTGGATTTATCCTTCTGCCTAAAACAACTAGAAAATCAGACAGAGTACATAAAACAATGGTTTTCAGATGGTGGATAATGGGCACTGCAGGACTGCGATCCCCAAGCAAAGGGAAAACACAGGTGACTCCTACAATTGAGCCAGCTTACTGTCTGGAGGCAGTTTTCAGGCTCTAGTGCACGTAAAGGGAACCCAGACAGAGCATGGCTCTCTGGCTAGGTTGAGGAGATAGATACCAGGGTTCAGAGAAGTCACTAGAATTTTCAGAACAGACTGCGAGAGGAAGCCGTCTTGGCCGGGTGCAGTGGCTCACGCCCGTAATCCCAGCACTTTGGGAGGCCGAGGTGGGTGGATCACGAGGTCAGGAGATCGAGACCATCCTGGCTAACATGGTGAAATATGCGGCAAGAAATTGTACACGCGTCCTGTACATCGCCAGTCACTTGGGAGCTAGGTGGGTACGAGCACCCTGAAGTCAGGCTCTTCGAGACCTGAGAACCTTGGCCCACACACTACTCAGGCTGAACACAGCGACAGGACATGACACACAACCTACATAGAAAACCAGGAGGAAAGAGATAGGCAAGTAGCTTCAAGTGGTTAATGATGCCTGTCATAGATCCAGCTCTCCGAGTAGCACGAGGCTGACCAGGTCCAGAAGGGATACTCAATGAACCTACAAGAGACGCTGGAGCGTCACACAGTGAGCCCTAAATACAAAACACATACACATACAACAAAACTTTTGTCAGCGGGGTGTGCCTCATGCCTGTCAACTTCTCCTTCCGAGCCTGGGCAACAGAGTGAGCAGATCTAGAGAATCACTGAGGTCAGGATTTCGCAGACACCTGGGCAACATAGTGAAACCCCTCTCTACTAAAAGACAAAAAACACACACAATACAATATACAGAGAAGCAAAGACAACATAAGAGGTTGGCCGCACGACATCTCCGGTAACTAGCAAATGGAAATTCACAACTCTCGGCATCACAGACGCACAAATATACGCAGTCAGAAAGAATCTGCAACCAGACCATGCACAAAATCATCAGTAGATCATACCCTCAGGAGAAAAACAGAACACAAACTCTACTTCGCATCAATAGGAACAACACTAAAAACAAATCAAAAAATAATAATGAGCCAGATGGTCTAGGTCAGGGCATCTAACATGTTATTTTTTTCCCTATTGGTATCTGGTTGTGTTTATTTGAGATGACGTTTTGGAGCGCATCAGTGACAAACGCACTGAACCCACGAGGTAGAGAACGTGTAGCAACGATCTTCAGCTCACTGCAACCTCCACTCCCAGGTTCAGCGATTCTCCTACTTCAGGCCTGAGAACTGGGATTACACAGGCACTACCACCACACGCTGGATCAGCTAATTTTTCGTATTTTCTTTATTACTTTAAATTATCTATTCATTGATTTTTGTGGGAGATGGGAGTCTCGGCTCTGTCGCTCATGTGCTGGGTT